AATCAAACATAACACAACAAAACAAAACACTATTATTATTCAAAATGACATTTCATTGAAAATTAATGAGCCTTTAAGTAAATTTTTTGTTGAAAACTTTCCATTTGCCTGGATTTAAACTAATTCCTTTAATTTGTTGAACTCATTTCTTATTATATACAAAAATTGAGTACATTTATCAATGGAAAGTATTATATTTCTATTTTAATAACTAGATATTAAATAATCTTTGAATTATGAGATAAACAAATATATTTAACACTAACTAACGTGTAGTGTATCAATGACATTGATTTCAAGGTTTTAATATATTTAGTTGAAAATAAAGACAATTTGATTTCTATTTGGAGGTTATACTCACTATTATTTTGTCGGAGTTTGAATCAAAACATTTTAATTTAATAAAATGAATATTTTCTAAAGTATTTATTTGTGAAATTGTTGGCAAAAACCTAAAATTATCTCAAAAAATGAGTGCAAATGAAGACAATTCTTTACGGAAGAGAAAATCCAAGGAATTGAAAGGACAGTCAAGTGTTTCAGATCAACAAATTCAAAGTAACAGTAATTTCGATGATCCGTAAGTACTTAAACTATAAATTTTGCATGCTTAACTTGCTTAATTAACTCATTATTTTATTTTGTTTAGTTGTCATGAAATCAAAGAATCTCTTTTGAGTCAATCAAACACTGAAATCAATTCGAGAGGATTTTTAAATTTAGCTCTCGTTTTATTGGTATAAATATTTTTATTACATAATATTTATGAAATATCATTTATTATTGTATTATATACAGGTGTATTTACAAACTAATTTTTCAGTTATATATAGTCTTTACTCGTATATTTTTAATATATGAAATAACTTTTCTCAAATTAATTTTAATAAGTAAATTATAAGAATAAATACAATAATAGCAAAATAAAATTCTGACCATTCAATATAAATAATTTAAATATATCTATTCTAACTTTAAAACAAATAGTGTTCTAATTAATTATTTACTATATGTTTATAAAAATTTAAATAATACTTGTAAATTAAAAAATCTTAAATTTGTAGAAATATCTTGACAATATTAATTAGTTTAAAATAATAATATCTTATTAATTTTTAAAAATATTAATTATAGGTTTTATCAAATGTAAGGGTAGCTCTCAACAATGTGATCCAATTTGGTATACTAATAGACCCCACTAAATCCATTTGGACAAGGATATTTAGTGAAAATCCACTCTATCGGCCAACGTTTCTCCTATTATTAGGAATCAATGTCTTCATATCCATAGCCTTATCAATAGAGAGACGTGCAGCCAATAAACAAATAAGTGGCAAAAAGGCCAACTTTCTCATAATCGCCAACATTTTCCTCCTTTTAATAACTCCAATAATAGTAAACATATTATTTGAATGCAATTTACTATTGTCTTCATTTGTTTGCGGCATTTATTCCATAATAATTCTTAAGCTAATATCGTATCATAATGTTAACAATTGGTGCAGAACTTCAACCAGATATGGAAAACCTATTTCTAGTTTTAGTAAAGTTAGAGAAGAGTATATCAGAGCACAGAATAACAGTAATTTGGTTAAATATCCAAATAATCTGGATGTTGGAGATCTATATTATTTTCTGTTTGCACCGACACTTTGCTATCAAATTAATTTCCCTCAAACCCCACGAATTAGGAAAAGATTTGTATTGAAACGACTCGTAGAAAGTGTAAGTTTTGTTGAATTTTTAAATTGGATTGATTTTAATATTATATATAATTTGAAAACATTTTAGATAACCCTTATACTAATAATAACCGGGTTAATACAACAATGGATTATACCTGCTGTTGAGAACTCATTGGAGCCCTTCAAGGACATGGAGTACTCCAAAATTATTTCACGATTATTACTATTAGCGGTAAAACCAATATTTGATTAAAAATTAATTTTTAAACTAAATTAAACTAAAATAAATAAAATTTTTAAAATGAATTATTTATATAATAAAAATTTATTTTAAGATAATACTAATAGCTTAATGCAATGTTATACAACAACTTATTTACAATACATTTATAATATAATAAATATAAATAATTATAATATTTTCATCATTAATATTTAATTAACAATGTTAATTGTCATGTATTTAGGTGCCCAACCATATAGTTTGGCTCATATTTTTCTACACAATTTTCCATTCATTTATGAATCTGATGGCAGAAATTCTGCGATTTGGAGACAGGGATTTCTATAGGGACTGGTGGTAAGGATTTATATATCAATATTTTTTCTAACGCTTAAACATTCAAACCTTATGTCTGGGGATAGGAATTCTGATAGTGTGGATCAATTTTGGCAGAAGTGGAATATACCGGTGCATAAATGGTGTGTCCGTCATATATATAAGCCTCTGGTCTATAGAGGCTATTCTCGATTCACGGCCTCAAGTGTTGTGTTTATAGTGTCGGCATTTTTTCACGAATACATTGTTTCAATTCCTTTAAAAATGCTGGAGATTTGGTCGTTCGCCGGAATGGTAGCACAGATTCCGTTAGCAATATTGGTTACATTTCTTCTGAAGGGAAATGCAGCCAACGCTACCATTTGGCTGCAGCTAATCATTGGTCAGCCCCTCGCTATTCTCATGTATTATCACGACTATTATGTAATTCACGTAATAAAACAGTAATTATTGTGACTTTTATATAATTATTAATTAATTAGCAAAGAATTCGTTGCAAAACATTTCAATTATCATACGATGAAATGTGCTTTTGATTGAGTCCTTCAATAATTGCTCACTTTATTATATTCACTCAATTTGTTTGTACCAAAGTTAAATAAATTATATTATGAACAAATCTTTCGTATAAATTGCTAGACTTAATTTATAGTAAAAGTGGTTTTTAAAGAATCCTTAATCTTATACTTTAAATACTACAGAATATTTGAATGTAATTGCATTATTGTTCAGTCGACTACAGAATATTTATGATACAGTATGAATACTGTGGTTGTTTTCATGTATAATAATTGTAGTGTACAGACGAATAAAAAGTTTCTTTCAAACTCTTTCAAACCTATACCAAAATTGACAAAATGTTATGGGATTGGTTTTGAGTTGTATTAGCATATACTGTGGTTGTTTTCATGTATAATAATTGTAGTGTACAGACGAATAAAAAGTTTCTTTCAAACTCTTTCAAACCTATACCAAAATTGACAAAATGTTATGGGATTGGCTTCGAGTTGTATTAGCATAATTGACATTGAATTTGATAGTAATTATATCAAAGAATTAATAGATTAATTATACTAAATAATAGAATATATAATGATTAATAGAGTATACTGTATATTATAATGAAACAAAAAAACATTTCCAAGAATTCGTATGAATTAAATTATTTTTTAAATGACTGAAAATAATATAGAAGTAAAGAGTTAATGAATTTGAAATTAAACTAATTATTAATTGCTAGTCATTATTTCAGTGAAATCATACCTGTATACCTATACATAATTTATAAATATAATTGCCCAATGAATTATTATTTAAACAACAAGTCATCTCATATATTCTGGTGAGTTGTCAACTCATATATGATGTTTTGTCATTCAATGGTACTGTAGTTTTATTGATGAGAGCATTCAATGTCAAAAATGTCTTTAGATTTACCAATCCTTATAGTGATCTGTGTCTGTACTCTATTGCTATTAATTTGGTTCATAGTTTGCTGTATCTGTAAGTGTTTGTGTTGTGAATGTTGTTGTTGTTATGAACACCAATCAGTCGTTTAAAACTATTTAATCCATTCATTGATTCAATTAAATACAATTGTTTGTCTCGGTTTATTGGTGTCTCTAAACGATCAAAACTTTTCAAATGGTATATAATCTGTTTGAGACAATAAGTGATGTGCACATCAATACTCTGTACAGAAGTGTACAAAAAGCCATCGATTTCTGGGGATATATTTTATTAGCAAAGAAAAGTCGACAATATTTTTGTTTCTTAATAGAAAACGACAAGAAGTGATGTGAAGGCAAAACAAATAGAGAGACCTATTATTGAATGAACAAACATTTCAAAACATTTATATTTGTTATTATTGTCATATCATGTGTTTGCGAAACCAAAACCTCGAGCCTATTGTGTTAGAGGAGAGTGAGCTCTGGTCTGAACTGCAAATTAAATTATTTCATTTCATTTTATGCTAATATAACATAATATAACACTAAGTTCTGCTTCTCTAAGAGATTTACTGTTTATGACACGAATAGCATGGATAGCACCGGTAGAATACAACAGCACTAATGCTTAGTAGAGATACTGAGATACTTATACTTTTCAAATATCATCGTTAAGGCTATTTGCGTATTGATAGGACGGGTCGGTCGGATGCGCCACTTGCCTGCACTGACGGCACTGCTCTCTCTATTTGCAGAGCCGCCTCTAAATCCATTAAATCCCTCCACAGTTTGACATCAACTGCTATTTTATCGATTCAAGTCTCCAGAGAGAGTCCCATCTGCGCCAAACCAAAACCTGGATCAACCTCTTGAATGCCTCTCAAATTGAATTTTCTCTATTACTTGCTCTCTCGCTCTCGCTCTCTCTCTCTCTCTCTCTCTCTCTCATCTCTATTGTAAACTAAAACTAATAGCAATGAAATGGAGCACATCTTCTACTTTACATCTTTAGAGGACTCGAAACACAATCATTACATAGAAATTGATAGAAAGACAATCAATTTCAAGCAAAAGAATTATTCTTTTCATTTAATTCCCAATTATGTATAGTTTTAACCACTTTTTTCGTTTGACAATCAGAACAAAAACAATTTATTAATAAAATGAATTGAAAGTATTTACAAAAGGTCTATACATGAAAATCATTTATAAATTATATAATATTTGTAATTATAATAAGAAGTACTGGAGACTAGAGGGGAAGTAGTATTGACTCGTGTCTATGGACTTATGGATAACATTTGTTGTGACAAAAAATTATAAACTAATCTCTTGTGAGTACTGACAAGCGTTTGGATGAGAGAGTGGTACAAAAGTGGCCGTAAGGCCGACACGTGTGCTCGCGATGTGCTCTTCAGACGTAATGCTGATGTGAAGAGCAGTCAAACCGATAGGAAAGTTAGTTATCATAACTTATGTTGCAATGCACTCCATATTATGACTAGTTTTCTATTATAACAGACAGTACTGAAAGTGAATCTAATTATTCCAATAGTGTTCCCATAATATAGAGAGAGAACCCAATCAACACTCACTTCTGTCGGCACTCTTTGAGCCATTTCTTTGCTTTGCATTTCTTTCTCTCCATAAATATCTCTAAATTTAGTTTTATCTCAAAAATTCACTATTAATTCACTAAAGGTTTAATCAAAACAGAGCTCGTGTTGTGATCACTGATGGGCAACAGTCTACGCGTCCAATACGTGGTTGAGATAAGCGATGTAACAAATGGCGAGACGAAGGATCTCTATTTTGGATAACTTCTTGTCCGGCGGTAATGTCGGCAAAAGGTGTCTCAACTCAGAGAAGGCGACGTTGAAAGCCTCGACGCGGATCCTCTCTCTGGTCGCGTGGGCTAACCTATACTTCTGAGTGGCTCTTCGCCGCCGACGCCTTTCTTCTCGTGTCAGATGTGTGGTCGGCGTCGATGTGTTGCCGTTCCCAGAGTTGTCAGTACTGAGGGCACCGCCAATCGCTCCGTTGCGCGTCCGGTAAGCTTGAGTCCGACGTAAGTTTGTCTGACGTATGGGTGTCTCGCTGTTGGACATCATTGCCGATGAGCTGATGATTGTTTGCAAACCAGTAGGCGATGACCCGATATATGGGACGGGAGTTGTGGGCACACCATTCAACTCATTGCACACTTCGCTGCAGTTGTCGACACTTTTTCTCGAAAACGAAACCACATTTTCGTTGGACTGAAAATTAGCTGAATTCGTGTTTTCGATATTAGCCGTCGAAGTCATACCAAATGAATACATGACTGAAGATCTCTCGCCTACAAGAGTTCATTAAAAACGAGTTCATTAAAAAAACTATGAGTTACTGTCTATTTCCAAATGAGCAATGCACTTATAAACTACTTAACACTTTCACGGGTATTAACACTTGAAATTGATAAAACATACAAATTATAGCTTACCATACATTTAAGGGTAAACTCAATCACTGACTTTCTTTTCATATCTTATTTTAATGAGCGATAAATCAAATCAATATTCTATGGACTCTTCAAAAGCTTTTAACATTTGAGCAAAAAGTGCGCCTAAAATATCTTTTAATGGCTATATTTCTATTTGTTTTTAATAACTGTATTAAATGAATAATAATAGCAAAAATATAGAGAAATATTAGATTAGAAATAAGTGTTAAATGAATGCACAGCCAATTAGGAGAAGCAATACATCTATTACTTTAGAAGTTGTGTTATATTTGCTTAAAGCTATCAAAAAGTGTTTATGATTTGATAATTTAGATTATAGACAACGGTTGCAGACTTTGTTATCTTAATTTTGGTGTCAATTACATACAAATACGCGTGACTTTCAATGCTTATT